TTATTTTTTTTTTAATGCAGCATAATGTTTTGAAGCAAAATCATTCCATTGACCACACGAGGGATTTAATTTGTGCATTTGTGTCAGAGATTGGATCCATGCCAGTACTCTCCATAGCCTCCTCACTGCAATCAGTGTTTAACGACTTTAGGGACTGCTCCCATTGGCTTGTTGACCCAGACCCCACAATATTGGCGAGAACCCCACGGGCTCCTGACTGCAGGCCTGGCGCACACTGCTGTGTCTTGGGGTACTTGTTGAAGGACTGAGCGCGCCTGGGAAGAGTGTGGATCACCTTCACATGTTATGTCAGGTAATGAGATTCTGCATACTCTCGGGACTACTGTTATACCTGGGTTTAGAATTGTAATCACACCATCATTTCCATCATTCTATCAGGCCAGTGTTATTTTTCTCCCAGAAGCTGCGGCTCAGAGCAGTGAAGCAGTGAACCTGGAGACTTGGAGCCCATTCAGAGCGATTCTGAAACCCCTGTTCCTAGCCAGATTGCCTCCTTGCCTCCTGGGGGTCACACGAGATTGGTCATGAGAAAGAAAACACCACCTTCAAAGCAGATATTTTAAAAAATTGATCCTGAAGCTGTATATTTTCCTCAGTTAATTGTAGCTATTTGGCATGTTTCTTCTTTAGCAGTTTATAGATTGTAATGCAGAATTCCATGATTGCTAGAGATGAAAATAATCCAGTCTGCCTGGGTTTCGTAGAATGAGCGGGTGTAATTTAGAAAACTCTCATTTATTAGAACATGGTCCCGGGTGGTCAGGTTGTTCCTGCTACCAGATCATTGGCGCCTCTACCCCCAACCACCTGCTTCCGGCGACACCTTCAGGGCGGGAAGGTGACCGACCATGAAGACCCATCCCATTTGCACTATACTGTCCAGGCTTGGGTTTCCCTACCGCGGGTCAGCGCTCCATCTGGTGCGTGAAACACTAACAAGAAACACGTTAAACATTTCTAATGTGATCTGTGACCTACTGATTTCCCCCACCAGTTGGGCATCTCCTATCACGAGGATCTTAAAATCGAAACAGAAAAATCTGAAACTATGTGGAAAGGGGAAAAAGCAGGTAGAGAACCAGTGGTTCTCAGACATGCCACGTCCCAGAATGACTCAAGAGACTTCATTGGGTATCGGTTTTGAATGTGGAACCTCGAGTCAAGTTTGTTAGCATCTCTAAGTTCATGTACTGATTTAATTCAGCCTTGAGCTTCCTGGCAGGCATGGGAAAATGGAAGCACTTTCCATTTTAACATTTTCCACTTGGGGCACCTATGTAATTTCACACCTATCTATATTACAAACCACCGAATTTTAGAAAAGATTGAGGTGGGTGGCTTACATAATTCTCACACTCACACACCAGTTCTTCAGGAGAGGCAAATGTTTCCTTGGTACTGAATTCATTAAAGAAAAAAAAATCTGATAGTTTAGGGATATAGGCTTTTTACAACTTTTCAAGTTTTCCAATTTTAAAGAAATACATGTCACTATCACAGTATAAAATACGCAATTACCATTACCGTGTTTTATATCTCCCCACATTATTCTGTGTATACCCATTTAAAATTAAAATAGGATAATTAAATACATACTGTTGTAAAAATCTGCTTTTTACACTTACCAATAATTGCATGTACATCTTTCCGTGATAATAAGACCTCCATTGTCTTTTTAACACATATATTGTATTTAGTATATTCATGTACTGCAGTTTATTAAATTTTCTCTCAATGGGCATTAAGTTGTTTCTAATTTTTCTCTGTCATAAATTGCCGTACCTTCAGTTTCTTTATATAAACGCATTTGCTCACTGGTGTAATCCTTTGCTTGACAAAATCCTAAAAGTAAAATTACTAAGTTTGAACCTTTGCCACCTGGAAAAGTTCTGGAAACGGTGCCGAGTGCCCTCTGGAAAGGTGTTAACAGTGTCAGGTCTTACTCCCGGAAAACAAAGCTGTGGATCTTTTCTTACCAGCACCAATCGGCAGGTGGAACATGAACTAGAACAGTCACGTCTCTAATACTCCTCAGGTGTCAATATATCATCTGGTCTTTGGCCCCTTATATTTCTTATTTTTGAGTGTATTTATTAATATCCTTTGCCTTGTTTCTATTGGTGTAACCTTTTTTTTCCCTCTCATCATGGATTGCTTTTAGAGTGAGGATATGAATTTTTGTTTGACATATTTTGCCAACAGGTTTTTCTTTAAAAAATTTCGGTGGTATTTTTTAAGTTAACAGTTAATTTTTTTCTTCATAATTTCTGGCTTCGGGTGCATCTGGAAAAATTTTCCCCCACCTAATAAACCAATTCTCCTGAATTTCCAGGTAACCTGCCTAAGGCTGTCAGTTATCCATTTAAAGCTCTATTCCTTTTGATTTATGGGAGAGACCTGGATGTTTTGTTTCCAAACAGTTGTTTCCATATCATTTATTGAAACAAATCTATCCTGTACTCAGGGGTTTGACATAATTTCTTTATCTGTTTATTTCTAGATTTCCTCTCCTCTGTCAGGAGTATCATACCTTCATATTATTGAGTTTGAGTAACATATTTACAATATTATCCTTATCTTCTAGAATAAGCTTATTGCCTTGCATTTTCTCTCACAGGCGATCTCTCTAAGACTTTCGAACACTATCTTCCACCTAAGTTTTATGGAAACTGCAGAGGTTCTCTGCGTTTGGGTCATCCTTAGGGATAAATAAAAGCCCAAAGAGTAAAGCTGTAGGGCAGCCCATGCTCTGGAGAGAGAAAGCAACAGGCAAGTGGCTAATCCAAGGAGGCACAGGTGTGTCAGCTCCCAGTGCATCAGAATGACCCAGGATCAGACTTCAGATCTTGAAGAGCAGAGGCATATCCCTCAGGAGGTCCTCCTTGATTTTTACAATTTTCATCGGAACTGCTGACCAAGGAAACCCGAATAATACAACTGGGCTGGTACTTCTATGTTGGCCTTGGATTCGAGATCTGTGGTGAGCGGGATTTGCTTTTCTCTTCACGGGAAACAAGTCAGAACTAGGTATAGTTCAAATGGAGAGCTGCCATCTTTTTTCTGCTGGACATGGCCTGGGGATGCTGTAGGCAAAGCCAACATTCTTCTAGAAGCAGCTTTGAAGGTGCTTACCTCTCAGCTTTGAGAGGTGTCCAGTTACCTGCATTATCGAGGATGGAAATAATTGTCTTAGGCTGCAGAAAGTCAAGATCAGGTGCTACTAGTGCTCTGCCATAGAAAGGCCCAGAACAATAAGCAGGTGCCTCTGATTTTGAGCAGTAACACCTCCTGACAAAGTGGCCTGCCAGGGATGTTTACCACAAAATGTAATCTCTGGCACCTGCATTAATCTACTTCCTGGACAGGACTAATCCTTCCTGTTTGTGTTTGGGTGAGAATCTTCCAGAGATGAAGATTTTTGTTATGGTCTGAGTTTTATTTTTTTAACAGAATTGCTTGTTCTGAAAATAATTAGGCCACAAGATTGGGTTCAGGTGAAGCCATTCCTTTTCCGTGAAGGCAAGTCAGCTTCCCAGGATGAATGGGCACGTGCCTTCCTGTTCTTTCTAGCAGAGAGGCAGCTCATAGAGAGGGTCCGAAGAGCCAAAATCCAGATCTACAGCTGTCAACTGAGGCAGTACCCAATCCCCAAACAAACATAGCTGATTTTGCCTTTCGAAGGGATAAGCAGGGCTTACACATTTGCTTGAAGTTCTGCAGGATCACTATCTCATTCAGAACCTCTTGGAAGAAGAAAGCAGGAGCAAAACCCTGAGAAATACTTCTAAAAAGTCTAGGAACATAGGGAGAATTTTTTTTTTGTCTTTTTTCTGTTTCGGTTATCCAATCTATAGAGAAATGGAGGCGCAGTATCTAAATTTGGAAAGCCTGGGTTCTAGTTCTAACCCTACTAATTATTAGTAGCATGACCTGAGATAAATACTTCACTTCTCCTTGCCTTAGTCTGGCTGTTCATAAAGCAGCAAGGTACCTGTGAAATGCTTGCTATGGGTTTGCAGGATCAGATGAGCTAAAGTTTGTGAAAGCACTTGTAAACTCTGATGGGATCTATAGATAGGTGTACACAAATAGAAATAAACTTCATGTGTATACAAGTAAAACTATATTTGCGGGACCAGAGGGATCCCGCACAGCCTACATTCACTCTTGAGTGATTCTGGAAATGGTGCTGTGTTTGGCCAAGGCCCAGGCGGGCCACACACGGATGCTAAAGTGGACATGACTGGTCACTGCTGCCCCTTGAGCCTCATGGAGCCTGGGGATGCTTCTTTTTCTGAAAGAGAAATATTACGGCCAGGTAAGGGATGATTTTGTCCTTTTTTATCATAGATGTTGTCCCTGTATGATGCCATATGTGGAAAGAACACCACCACTTTCCCTCTCAGCCACTCAGTCTTCCCATTAAGAACATATGGGGTTTTGGGGCGCCTGGGTGGCTCAGATGGTTGGGCATCTGCCTTTGGCTCAGGTCATGATCCCAGGGTTCTGGGATCGAGTCCCACGTCGGGCTCCCTGCTCCTTGGGAGTCTGCTTCTCCCTCTGCTTCTCTCTCTCTCTCTCTCTGTCTCTCATGAATAAATAAATAAAATCTTAAAAAAAAAAAAAGAACATATGGGGTTTTGATTGGATAGTCTGTGGTCACAAAATCTATGATCTACCCTCTGCAGTTATAATCACTGCATTAACATGGCCAAGACATGAAACCTCTAGGTAGACCTGGCATTCCAACTCTAAAGAGGAATCTTCTGGAAATACAACAGCTGCTACTGATGACTTCCAGAAAATCTTGGCTGCCATCATGGAATAGTGGCTCTCCAGGGCAGGATCAGGCGAGTGACTGAGGTTGGGGTCCAGGATACTCTGCCTAAGGCAGAAAAGAGCAGCAGACCTCATCCGACCTCTACAGACACACCTGGAACATGCCTGGGTCTTTTATTTCCCCATTGCACCATATGCGGTGCTTCCCCAAGGCTGAGGTTTATGAGTCCCACTCGGAGGGTAGGCCTTTGTCAGTATCCTACAGTTTTCTGTTGCTTCTTATTGAAAGGATTGTAGGGTTTTACAGTTGTGACCATTCGAGACAGCGGTGCCTGGTGACGGAAGACACCAACTTCCATTTCTTTCCGTAAGATGCTATAAAGGGGGTGGAGAAAAAAAAGAAGAAAAAATGACCCATAAAATATACATAAAAATATATAACCTCATCTGTTTTCCAACTAATGATACACATGTTCAGGAGAGTGAATGAGGGTCAGGAGAACACATAACAGAGAGACTGGGAATGATTAATCCTTGTGTGCATTGTTTCATTTATTTCTTTTATTTGCATTGAGTCTCATTTATTGCATTACATGCATTATATTGTAATCGGTTTCATTGACTGAAAATCTACTCTGTGCCTAGAGTTACAGTAGGTGCTAAGAATAGATAGAATAGAAAATAAAGTTAAAAGGAGGTACTCAAACGTTACAACACAAAGCCCCTATATGGGCAAGCCCGGGGCAAGGGGCCCAGGGAGGTAGAGGGCTCGATCCCAGGACCCCCGGATCACAACCTGAGCCGAAGGCAGACACTTAACTGACTGAGCCACCCAGGTGCACCTTTTTAATGCTATGATTATCAGGATGCCATAATATTTTATTGTGCGGTGGAAAATGGCTGTTGAAGTACAAACTCAAGCTTCTGTTCAGGTGGCGTTCTGGTGTGAGGGGATGCACAGGAAACTCCGGACTGCCCTGGAAACAGGAATGAGGAGAAACCCCCGTGTGCATTCCCTCGCTCTCAAAATGGGAAATTCACAACATCGGTCTCCCCCACCTCCGGCACCCCTGCCCCTCACTTCAATCTCATCCACTGATCTCTTTACTTGCTATACTGTGTCTCATCTCAATATCAATCTTAGGCACAGCTGGTGTTTTGTACACCTTGCTCAAAATGTGTTACTGGGACCACATGGACCACAACCCCTTGGCATTGACATTCAAGGCCTTAACTCCTTAATCCAGACCACCACTGCAGCCTCCCAGGCACAAAGATCCGTGGCAAATGCACCAGCCCACCCTCGGCATGTCAACGGTCTTTAGTGTTCAGCCTCCCCTGGTGGTCTTACCAGCCGACCCCTGGTGGGCAGGAGCACTGTTGACTGGCAATGTCAGAATGCAGACCACGGGAGGTTGACAGAGAGTGGGCTGGGAGGGCGTGGAGGCGGACAGGGGAAGGGAGACTGGGTGTTTGCCTCTGAACGAAGCTTGGGAGTGAGAGGGAGGAGGGCAGGGAAGGGAATGGCTGCTCAAATGGGACACCTTTGATTTCTCCAGCAGGGAGGTGGCTGGGGTGGGAGGGGGCTGGGTTTCTTCCCAAGCAAGAGGGACGGAGCAGGGTTGAAGAGGACCCAGTGCTCAGATGGAAGGATGAACTTTTGGAAGAGCAAGACCTCCTCTTTGGGGGGAAAGGAGACAGAAGCAGTGGTGGGAGGAGAGATTCCGATGCTGGGGGCAGGGAGAGGAGAGCCCACCAGGACACCTGGAGATGGGCTGCAGGCCCAAGCAGCCTGCACGGCCCCCGTGGGGCAGTGCGAGCCCTAGCACCGGGGCTTACCAGAACACCAGAGCCTGGGTTCAGGAGCACCCAGGGCATGCCCGTGTGCAGACAGCCTCGCAGAAACAACAGGAAAGACGCAGCAGATCAGTCAGACACCGAGAGGAAGTCAGCTCACGAAGTTCTCATGATACTCATCAGAGAGAGACCTCGACTCCCACTTTCGCAGGGAATTTTCAGCAAAAATACATTAAATATAGCATCACAAAAATTGAGAGGTGATACTTCGTGAAGGAGAACCTCAAAGGCCCGATGTTCTCTGATCTCAAGGTCCAGGGGGCCTCCTCGTGTTAGAGAGAGCTTTTTAAAGTCTGACCACCCCACTGTGTTTTCTCGCTGCCAAGCCCCCGGTCTGTCGAGTGCCGCCATTAGGGGTGGGCGCAGGGATAGGGGTCTGGACACCTGGTCCAACAGAGCTTGGTCGCTTCTTTGTGAGTGACCCTTGGGTTGCTGCCACTGTCTGTGTTTCCTGAGCCTATGTGCACCCCAAGAATAAGAACCCCAGAGAAGCCACCACAGAGGGTCCTTGGTCCCCACTCTGAGACAAGATGACAGAGCTGTGCGCAGTGTGTGGGGCATGGCGAGTGTGGGGCTCACCAGGGGTCAGCAATGGGCCTAAACCTGGGCTTGAGGGTGTGGCCAAAAGACTTGAGTCCTTTTCCCAGGAAGTAACAGCAGGAACAGCACCAGGAACATTAGGAACAGCAGGAACAGCAGTAACAACATTAGGAACAGCAGGAACAGCACCAGCAACATTAGGAACAGCAGGAACAGCAGAAACAGCAGTAGGAACAGCAGGAACAGCACCAGGAACATTAGGAACAGCAGGAACAGCAGTAGGAACATTAGGAACAGCAGGAACAGCAGTAGCAAATTAGGAACAGCAGGAACAGCAGTAACAACATTAGGAACAGCAGAAACAGCACCAGGAACATTAGGAACAGCAGGAACAGCAGAAACAGCAGCAGGAACAGCAGGAACAGCACCAGCAACATTAGGAACAGCAGGAACAGCAGTAGGAACATTAGGAACATCAGGAACAGCAGTTGCAAATTAGGAACAGCAGGAACAGCAGTAGCAACGTTAGGAACTCCAGGAACAGCACCAGCAACATTAGGAACAGCAGGAACAGCACCAGCAACATTAGGAACAGCAGGAACAGCACCAGCAACATTATAGCAGTAGCAAGAGTTCAGTAACAGTGAAGGATAGTTTTCCACTTGGAAATACAGATTTCTTTGAAATATAGTAGTACATGGAACAGCTAGATCACGTGCCCAGGGAAACGTGCTAGACCCACCAGGTATCAGAGCTGAGGTCTGAGACGTATGGGGAGAGAAGATGGATCATGAAGGAAGAAGGCCAGGGAACAGGAATGTTCACATTTGCCCTGGGAACACATCACTGGGACTGGTCCCCTGTCATTATCCACCCAGACACAGTGTATGATTCCATCTTTGTGGACACTACGTCTAAACAACAGACATCAGAATGCTTTTAATTTTGCCATTGTTTCTTTAGGCCCATCAACGAAATAAAATCCATTAACTGTCTAAATTTCCATCAGTCCTGCCTTTGCAAATGGATCTGTGACTTTGGAAAACGTGCCCTGAGAGAAAACTGATTCAATGCAAAATAGTAGCCTCGAAAGCCAATGTCCTCCTTTAAAATGTTTCCTATCAGGTGGCCCAGAGGTTCTAAGCAATCAGTGAACCCAGAATTTAGATCAGTTGACGAAGCCCTCTGTCAGCAGGCATTTCCCTGCACCCAGTCACTGCCTGAGGAACCAGGTCCTGCATACAGGGTGTGCAATGATCTGGGCGCCCCACACAGCCCTCTTATGGTTCCATGGTTGTGTGGTGAGGGGCTTTGCATGTGGGATCCCTGGAATAAGCCAACCCTTCCACACACAGCCTGGCCTGCAGATATCTATGAGACCAAGGGTCATGGCATGAACCCCTTCCTCTGTGAAGCCTTCCTTAGTGCCCCCCACGCGGATCCACGCAGATCCCCTGAAATCTTCTGTTTGCCTCACTGTCCTGATCTGTAAAATGGGGAAACAAGAGCACAGCCCTCACCGGGTTTCTGGTTTGGTGAGATGACTTGGTAAGTACAAAGCACTTGGATAGCCTGGTATAGACGAAGCACTCACCCATGTGAGTGATAGTATTAGGGTGATATGCATCATCCTCTACTATGGTTGTGTGTTTCTTGCTCACGGCTAGACTCTGAGCTCCTTGCAAACTGGGTCTAGTTCTTGTGAATTCCTGGAGAACCACGAACTCTGTTGACCCCGTGAAAGCACATACAAATGAACCAGTAAAGGTGTGAGTGAACGAGAAAATAAATAGCCCGTATGAACTGACCGCCAGGGCCCACGAGGCTCTCCTCACTTGCCCCCTCTCAGAACATGTGAGAAATCCGGTGGGATGGCTTGGACTCTGCCTGAGGGTCACCTCCTCGGAAAGCCCTCCCGGACTGCCAAGCTAACTCAGCACCCTGTCCAGGCCCTACCTACTATACCTCCCTGCCTTTTCTCCTGGGCAGCACATAGCACTCTCTCAAATCATTTTATTTCTTCAATTACTTGTGTGCGTTTCTGCTGTCACACCAGAACGTAAGCTCCTGAGAGCCGGGATCGCGTCTGTTCAGCCCATGTGCTCAGGGCCTCGAATGGTGCCTGGCCCAGAGTGGATGCTCAATAAATGTTGGATGAATGAATGGATTCTCTACCAAAAGGAGAAAAGGCATCCTTTGGGGGAGAACCCCTCCCTCCTCCTCTAAGATGCACAGGGACCTCCTGGGATAGTTTTATTTATTTGCAGGAGCCAGCAACTGGACCTGGTTAAGACCACATTTGCATTCTCAAGACTGTGTCATCTTATTTGCAAGCCCAGGACCTCCATCAAACATTTTCAGATTTGAGTTATAATGAATAATAATGTGTTGCTTCTCTCTGGCAGCTCCAAATAACGGAGTCCACAAGAGCCTTCCATCTGAGGTCTCCTGTTTTCGATTTGTAAAATGGTGTTTAAAAATACATGTGACTTTCAACAGAATGTTGTCTCTTATGAAAACTAAGGTGGTGGTGATTCGCAGGGAGTAAATATGTGGCTCCTGTGATGTGTTCCCGGCATCCACCCATGTTCTGCTGGTTACGCAGAGGGGTGATATGGGTGCAAAGCTGTAAGTCCAAGAGGTAAAGATGCTGCTCACCTAACACACTTTAAGTATCTTCATACACTCCTTTAGCAACAGCGGGAAAATGAACGCTTCTGTCTTTTGGACTTGACACCCCATTTTTAAAAATGATGTAAATTTACTCTTTGTATGTAATTGTTCTTTAATGGAATAACCATAATGATGATCCCTCCCCCCACCCCCGCCTGCCTCCAGTGTATCTGAGCATGTTGAGTAATAGGACTCAGACTTACCGGTGCACTTCTGAGTCTGGTGATGGGGTTGTTGATGGAATATCAGGATTTGCCGGGTGGCTGGCTGCAAAATGAACCTTCCCGGTGTATCCTGGGATATTGGCAGAGCTGAAGGAAAGAGTTAAAAGAGAGGGGAGAGAGGAAATGAAAAGAGGCATTTGTGAAATAGTCCGGGTCACCAGCACCCACACATGAAAGTACAAAGGGCGACTCTGGAAATCGGGTTGGCAAACCGGAAAGGGTGCAGGCAGGGGCACAGTGACTCAGAAATGCACACATAGCCGCTCTACTCTAGGACTGAAGAAACTCATTTCCAGCCCATGTTTTTCCTATTATTTGAATTTGCAAGTATTTTACATACATGATTCACCATCAAGCTGTTTCCTAATGAAGGAGGACACGGGGTCTTTACGGAACCGCAGACCTGTCCTCCACACGTGACCCTGTCATGCTGACTCCAGTCCTAGTCGACACACAACTGTGTGGACTTTTTTTAAAGATATTGAGAGAGAGAGAGAGAGCAAGAGAGAGAGCACAAATGGGGAGCGGCAGGCAGACAGAGAGGGAGAAGCAGGCTCCCCGCTGAGCAGGGAGCCCGACGCGGGGCTCGATCTCAGGACCCTGAGATCATGACCCGAGCCGAAGGCAGACACAATCAACTGAGCCACCCAGGCGTCCCACACAACAGTGTTTTTAACATAATATTTTCTTATCACCATTGTTGTACTGCATTCCTGATTTCACGTAATTTCTTGAAATTGCACAGACTTACACAAGCATGGGCTTGTTCTGTGCCACCCCCACTTACTCTTCTGCCTTTCCTGTCCTCCCACCAGTGAGAGGGGAGGGAAGAGAGCACGGGAACATAGGGAAGGTTCTCCACGGTAGATATAAACTCCCTCTCTAGAAAGGGAAGCAAATGTTCCAAAGAAGTATTTTAATAGGCAGTTCAGAGGCATATGAATCCTGCTAATATTTTTTGCCATTTTCATAGCACACAAATGTTTGAAGTGCATTCTTTGCTGAGGGAGAGGTAGGGCTGAGCTCCGGGGCAGGGCTGTGTGGGCTCGGTCCCCAGTGCTGCTGACGACCTGTGGCCGTGGCCTCCCCGGAGCCAGGGATGGTGGGAATTTAAACTGTATTTCAAGGAGCGAGAACCCACTATGTGCAAATCCTGACGCTCACTGAGCTAGTACATGATCTCTGTGGACTTGAACTCCTAGCATCCTGTGGGTGCTAGAACCTCAGCTCATCGTACGTGTTTGGGGGGGACAAGGACGACCGCCACCATCGTTCATAAGCCAGCAGCGAGGAAAGGGCCAAGACAACGGGCTGCCACTTCTGCTCAGTCAGTGGTTGGCACTTCCCATCCCTGGGCCTTTTCTTCGGGAGCGTGACATTTCTCTGGCGCTGGTCCTCGTTCGAGATGGATGCGCAGACAAAATGCAATACAATGACAGCTGCAGCAAGCAAACCTCTGTCCAGGGCGAACGACGACCGGTTCCTCTGTGGGTCTCCTGCTTGCACCCGCCGCCTTCCCACCCCCCACACACAATAAGCCAAAGAAAACGTCCAGGATCCATTTGCCTTAGGAGGACGTTTTGAAATAGGAGGCTTCAGGGGAGTCGGTTCTTACAAGCGGCAGGTGAGGAGGCAGATGGAGGAGAGTGGGGTGGGGATGTGGGTGTGGGCTCAAGGGTCAGGGCTCCGATTCGAACCCCATGACTCCGCTCATCAGCTCGCAGGACTGCGCCACAGGCTTGTAATCTCTCAGAGCCTTACTGCCTCAGCCATGCAAGGGGGTAAAGACAGCAAACTCAAGGCCTGATCGTCTTTGGTGGGGAAAAGGTACCTGTTCCTGGGGCAGCCCCTCGGGGTCCCTCCGTGCTGGATCGTGGATTGTAGCGCAGACCTTGGTGTTCCCTCCGCATGTGGATCATGGCGCAGACCCTCGGTGTATCCCTGGGCGTGGATCAAGGCACAGCCCCTTGGTGCCCTGCTCCCCACTCATGGACCATGGATCGTGGCACAGACCTTTACGCATGGGTCCTTTTACGCATGGAAAGGGCTCCTGATGCAGCCCCTCTGTGCCCCCCCCACATGTGGATCGTGGCACAGTCCCTCGGTGTCCCTCCATGCATGGTTATCTGTTAGTATTGGAATTTTAGAGAAAAAAATTATGTACCAGGCAAGAGTTGTACTAATAAACCCCATCTGTGTCTTGCAAATGACAAGTCATAGCCTTGCTGTGACTATAGGTGATGATGTACCAGCTTCCAGGCAGCAAAACGGGGACACCTGATGTTAACAGAGAGAAGGGAACGTGCATCAGTGGTAATCACAGAAGACATTGTACACCTTATTGGATCTTGGGAGACTAGGAAAATGAGGTAGGGAAAGAGCAAGGAAGCCCACCGCATGGGGAGCCGGGTCTCTCTTCCACGCCTGACTTGCCCCTTAACCAACTGTGCGTTCTTCCTCCAGGGATGGAAGCCCTCTGGACCCCAGCCCAGTCCCCTGCCACAGGGAGAAAAGCCCATCCACCTCTTCAAGGCTCATCCAGGGTCGAAGGGGGTTCAATGAATGTGAAGGTGGCCAGCAAATCTTCAGCACTTAGTAGGGGCTCAACTAATTGTAGTTGAAACTCAATATTTTAAGAATTTAAGATTTTAATAAGAAATTTACAAAACAGGAGCCTAATAGGTAGAGAATGTGAAGTTTATCCAGCGCAAGCAGCCGAAAAGATATTCAGACAGTGGCTTCCAAATGTCACACTGAATAACTCATGGGGATTTTTCAAAGGTACCCATGCCTGACTCCCAGCCCTCAGACATTCTGATTTAACTGGTAAGGGGGGGTGTGACCTGGGAATTGGGGTCTTCAAAAGCTTTCGAGATAAATCTAGATAAGCGGTGCATTGAAGTTTGGAAATCCCCATGTCAGAGCTACATTTTCAGGTTTGTTGGAGGGACCTGGGTGATCAAATCAGCGTTGCCAAATTCTAGGCAGTGCCCTTTAGGATTTCCTGGAATTTTCTTGAAGAAGTGTGGCTGTATGTCAGAGAGGTAACCAAAAACAGGGCAAAATTATTCATGTGTCTGTCTTTCCCCCAACATTCTATAAAGCTTCCATGCATGTTACAGAGGAAATCCCCTTCCTCTGCATGAGATGTTTTTTCCACTGCCTCTGAAACACCTGCAGAATTAAAATGCCTCTAAAGTCATGGCCTTCCATGAGAGCAGTTAAGTCCAAGATGGAGGCAAGCGGTCTGTCAACCAGGAGGAGAGCTTGACGGAGAACATCATACAGCTCTGCGTGCCTCATGGCACACAGGTTATTGCTGAGAAGTGGTATACGTTATAATGATGATACGATGTTATATTACCTCACATCCAATAACAACAAACCACGAGCCAGGAGACTACATTAAAGAGAAGCCACTTAGGCTTAAGAAATGAATTCAGTTGCATAATAAACCAATTTTGAAATTTGGCCAAATATCTGAAAGCGAAAGTCCTCACCCACGCCGCTTCTAAATCTATTCCATTTATCCACCCCCCTTTGCAGGGACATCACGGGGGGAGGTTTTTCCATCTTCAGTGCAACACGTTGACCTTCTGTCAAGAAGAGAATAGTCTCTGCGGGACATTCTACAGCCTTGCTGCTGAGGGGTGACATGGTTTTCTACAGGGAGGAGACAAATCTATGAAAGGTGCTAAAATGCATGGGCTTTTAAATGTATTTCCAGATCGGTTCCATGTTCAAGGACCCTCCTCCTCCTCTTAAGGAGAGCAGAGAGAAGCTGGAACTCATTTAAAAATAAGATAAGTCTTCATTGTTTGTCTTTGCTCCATAACTTTTAGGCCTTTGAACACCTTCTGGTGTACTCCGATTCCCAGAGTAAAGCGGGATTCTCTTTGCTGTGGGTGCGGGGGAAGACATCATGCCTTCATGCAGATGCAGGAACTGAGGTTTTAGAGGCAGTCTAAGGACTGTGTCCTGAGCCATTCGAGCTGGCGGGGGGCAGAACCGCCCCACCCAGAAGGCCCGGATGTAAGGGGTGCCATCCTTGCTGGGAGATGCCCCTCCTGCCCTCACACCCAGGGCCCCGAGCAGAGGCAGGAGAGCCCTGCTACCTCTGAGTGGGTGCCCGTGTGAGTTCAAGTCAATTCGACTACCTTTCATTGAGAGCTGTTCGGTGTCAGGTACATGTCCAGGCAGAAATCAGCCAGGCCTGCTCCTGACACCTTTCACTTAATGAGAACATTTTTAAATGCACATGTAGAGGTTTGAAGAACCCAAGTGGGGTGAAGACCGCCAATGCAAAGTAACGGGGAGGGTGGGAGGGGGCGTATGAGAGGGTTACAGAAAGAGAGAGGCATGGGGTCAGAGGGCAGAGGGCAGAGAGGCTGGTATTGAACCCTGGGGCTGCCCCTACCAGCCATGGGGCCTTAGACAACAGAACTGAAGCTCTGGGAGCCACCTGTGCTCTGGTCGGGGGCTGTGCCTCCCCTGGAGGGGGCGGGGCAGGAGGAGGGGTCAAGACTGGCCAGGGCAAGGGCGGTGGGACAAGGGCAAGGCCGGGCTTCCGGGGCGACCAAGAGAAGGGGGCTGCAGAGCATTCTTGGGGTGCCCACACCTAGAGGGAAAAAAGAAGGAGAGGCCTTGAGCTTGGATTTACTTGTTTTGACTGTTGGGCGAGAAATCTAAGTAAGACCACCATCATTTTGGACATTGGGTTGTGTTTCTCAGAATGGAAGATATTTGGGCCCCAAGATTTGTTCAGGAATTACAGTTTTATTACCCTCATTGAGTGCCTACACTTGCTTTTCCTCTGTTCTTAGAATCTCCCCGAGGGGAAGGGGACACAGAAATAACCCAAAGGCTTCGAATGCCAACAGGGCTGGATGGAGGCTTCCCCAGATGCAGAGGTGTGTCCTTATGGGCAGGGCAGGAGCTCGCCCGGGGGTTAGGTGGCCCGTCTCTCAGCCTCTCCTGAAATGAGTGCTCTGGGGCTCTTTACATCATGCGCTCCGGCCTCAGCCTCCTCATCTGTAAAATGGGGACCGTACCTGTTCCCGGGCCTCTGGCCTCATCACACTATTTTGAAAAACAAATGAAGGAGTAGATGTGAAAGTCCTCTGAAAAGGCAGAAGTG